GCGTGTGTGTGTGCCTTCTGCCTACCGCTAGTACACGGTGCCACTGCAATGTCCTCCATGTCGTAGGGCGTGAAGTTTCCAAACGTGAACACACCCAAAGATCGCCCACTTGTGGCGTTGATGGCATAGATCCTGGTGGAAGAAAACGGTGAGCTGGTATAGATTTAACGCCCCTATCAACAAAGTTCATTGGACACACAATGCGGAAAGAAGCATTGGAGAACATTTTAACAACAAGCAAGTTTGATGGAAAGAGAGGCAGAGGCAGACAGAGAGAAAAGATACTGGACAAGTTTACAACATGGCTGGGAACAGCAAGAACAACAGACACCATCGCTGCAATGCAAGACAGATGGAAGTGGAAGTCCATCATTGCCCACGCCAGTCGGCAAGGCACCGGATGATGGTAATCAACACTATTAGGTTATATAAGAGGCAGGACCTCCAAGTTAAACGTCCGTATTCGAAAGAACGGAGCCAAATAGGAAATTCGTGTAAAATGTCTTTCCTAAACACACAACGTTTGACCGAGCTAAGGCTCGAATCCACGAACCCGTAACCTCACGAGTACGGGTCCGGGTCCGGTAACCTAACCACTAGACTACTGACGCCACGGGAGGAAAGAAGGAAATACAAATACAGAATGAAAAAAACTCCCAAACCACAACGTATTTGAGCTTTTATATATCACATGATGCTCAATATTCATTATGTTATGTTAAGTAGTTATCATTTTTTTTCAAAGACATTTCCATATGGGGTCAGTACATGCTACAGGATGAGAGTCGAGACGCCTGAGCTGTCACTAGCATAGAAATGTGAATTTCAAATGTTGTTTTGTTTGGATCTATTTTGCTGCTGCTTCTGTATTGTTGCTTCTGTATCGTTGTTGTTGTTGTTGTTGTTGTTGTTGTTGTTGTTGTTGTTGTTGTTGTTATTGTTGTTGTTGTTGTTGTGTCCTTCCAGCCTATTTTCGTCCGCCCCTCCCCCTTAAACCACTCATCTGTTTGACCTTCCCTTCCCTCTCACCTGTTTTTACACCTCCCTCCCCCTTCACCTGTTTTGACCCCCTCCCTATCCCCTCACCTGTTCCCCCTCCTCCCCCTTTCACCTGTTTTTGTCTCCCCCCTCCATCCTCACCCGTTTTTGCCCCCCCTCCACCTGTTCCC